TATATATATATACATAAATACGCTTGTAGATTGAATATAAGGGACGTACTGTGTGATATTAAATTCAATTCAATTATGATTTTGTATTAATGTAGATTAATATTGAGCTGACAAAAATTACATTATAACATATATTTTATTTGTTTTCAATGTTAAGTATTGTCTTAAATATTTACATAAATGTAAAATTTTATTTATTATATTTATTATGATATTAAAGAAATTGCAAATAGTAAATTCTAACACATAAAAATTTAACTAGATAAATTGGCCAAATATCATGTGATTTGAACTTTTGTATATTGCGCGATTATATGAATCATAAAATAACAAAAATAATTTAAAAATATAGAATAATACATTTATTTTTTTGATCTATTAATTCGTGCATTGATATAAAAATTTTTTATATATAAAGCCTTGATCTCAAAGATAAATATACTTTATAATAGAAATTTTTTACACAATGTATATAAATTCTATATACAATGTTGTATAATACATGAATTTAGAAATTAAAATATTCAGAATGAATTACATATCATGTATGAATTACATATCAACCTCATCACTTCATCCATATAATATATAAATATAATATATAAATTTGTACAAATGGTTGCCTTCAGCAGAAAAAGCAGCTTTACAACGATAAACTTCTTTAATAACGATTCTTGCCTTTTCATTGAAGATAAATCAATCATTAAAGAATTTTACAACAATTGCAAGTTGCTTTTTCTGTTGTACTCAGCCAATATAAAAATCTTGCATAGATAATAGTTAAAGATAAATTTGCGCACAGACAGATATATCCGTATATCTATATTTTATCAAAGTTAAAATTATTCTTTATGTGTTACTGAATCTTATTTACATATAATCATGAGATACTCAATTGCTTTTGTACCCAAGCAGAATCTTTGTAAAATCTTGGGTCAACGATTCTTAAAGAGGCTCTCTTGTAGAAATAATAATATAGTACTGCAACTATATAAAACCTTAGATTAATATGTGTTCATCAATAAGATACCTTTTCCAGTTTTTTAATATCCTACCTGTTCGATGCACTGAATAAAGAATATAAAATTCTTTTGTCCAATAATGTTTCAATGGTACTGACCAATGTATAGTAACATGCCATGTATGTAAACTAATTGATAATATCATATATATAACACATAATACTAATGTCATGTGGAATCTTGTATATAGCAGCTGTATCAAACCTGCCTGAAAAGTAAATATTAAATACTATAATTAGATATTATATAGTTAACATAAAAATTTTGTCAGTGAGCAAAATCTTGAAAATTTGCCAGTGAATTAAATAGAATATAGCAAATTGGTGCATTAGTTTCATGTTGCATCAGCAAAACCTGTCATTTAAATGGCTATGAAATGGCAAAGTTTGCTCAGTTTCTAGTCAATTTGCTATCATATTCTATTATATTTCAGCTGATATGTAATCAATAAAATTTATAGCATTTTATAAAATCTGTTTTTATTATAATTCCTGTTCTTTTTAGTTAAACTTCTTGCATATGATTTATTTTTTCTTTTTTTTCCATATTGAAGAAAAAGATGAACTATACAAGTTCAGTTAAAACAAAATAGAACATATTTTATTCTATTGTATATGTTTACCTGGAAGATGTAAGTAGAAAAGAAGTTTACTAAAAGTAGAGTAAGGGCCACAATAAGGCAAAAGTCTTGAATCCTGAAAGCATCAAAATGATTAAATGATTATGCATGGCATTGCAATAATAAACAATAACAATTATTACGTACACATAAAGCACCAGTAGATCCGTCGGATGCTGTCTAGCGAAGCTTGCGAACGAATTTACGCAAACATCAAAGAGCAATATAACATATTGCAGGATTATGATAGCTGTGTACTGCCTTGTGTTTAAAGAACTCATTTACCACCTGTGAAAAGAAATTGCAAAACATAAACACGTGTACCCTTGTGTAATTTATTAAAACGCATGGGTAGTTGCCATAGCAACGAATGAACACACCTAACCTAACCTAACCATCTAATCTGATCAGCGAAAATTAGGTTGAAAGCATTGAACAGAGAGAAGCTTGAGAGCAGCCACGATCGCGATTTATCTGTTACCAGAGAGCGGCCATCCCGGCGTTTTTCGTGGGAACATCGAAATTCCCCGTACATTAGCACCACAGTTCCATTTTAGCATGTTGGAATTTATAAGTAGCGAGTTCTATTTTCTCACACGATAAAATCTCATTTCGGTGTGCGTCCGTGCTAGTTCCACTATTCGTGCTACTTCCACAATCCGAAAGAAGCAAGAATATACTTATATAATTAAATATTTATTTACGTTTGTGCAATTTTCTCGTTGTAAAATATTGATGAACATTAATATTGGTATATTATATATATATATATATGTGTGTGTGTGTACATATTTATATGTACATATTGAAAGATATCTATTAGATTCGGAAAAAATTAACGGAGACCGACTGGATTTGAACTCGGGATCCCTCGTCTACCAATCCGACACTTAGTCTGTACGACCACGACGGCTCCTCTCTGTTAGCTGTTTATATTCCGAATCTCTTTCATGATGGCTTACGGTCATCTAATTCTTACAATATTGTACATTTTTACAATATTGTACATTTGTATGTATAAAATATGTATATATTATAATAATAATATTATTATATTTTTATTACTTATTATAACTTTTAATTATTATAATCTTAATTATTATAAAATTATATAATAGCTTATTAATTATAATAAGTATTATATGTAAAGTACGTATGATTATATATAATAATTTTCGTTTTTCTTTATATCTTGTGCTTATTCTTTTAATTCGTACGTTAATGTCAACAACAGTGAGCGATAAGAAACGTCGGAGACGCTCGACTATCGCACAGCGTGTGAAGTGCGAAAGAGTACGAAAATATTTCTATTTTCTTTTCACACTATATCATGAGCGCGAAAGAGACAATAGTATTTCTACCCTTTTCTATTCTCCCTAGATGACCGAATCGCCGAGTGCACATGTACGTGTCTCGCCTTTGTGTGCGTGCACATCTCTCCTCACAATTCGTTCTTTTAAATAAAGGAAGATTCCGGTCTTCAGGCCACCGATTTTGCTGAATTTTTGTTACAATGTAGTATTAATATAGATGTAACAGCATATAGCAATATATTATTCGGAAATGATGTATTTTAAAACTATTGATGAGAAATTGCGGTTTGAATTTTAGTACGCTCCTTTAGTATCACTGCAGTAAAACATGTAATTAGGATCGACGTAGCGTAGTGATTTAAGTGCTGTGCTAGAAATTCGGAGATCGCGTGTTCGCGTCCCAGTATTTTATAGTTCTTTTTTTTCTATTTTTTACGTTAATTTTTTTCTCGTTAAAGAAAAATATTTAGTACATTTAATAATACAGAAATTAATTTTTTATTAAAATTTTTTTTATTCTTGTTTGTTTTGAATAAAACAATGCTAATATGACAAGTTTATGCGTATATGTATGTATTTATAGGGAGCGTCCTAGATGCGCACACACACACACACCACTCACATCAGCCGGTGCCTAGGAATTTTCTAGTGAGCCACCTATCAAAAATTTTTTTATTTAATCGATCAATCGGCAATGTATCCGATTAGACCTCATTCTATTTATATAGATGGCGAAATATTTATATGATATAAAGAAAATTGTTTTGTACATAAATAAACCAATAAATGTATATACATTTTTATATAAATACATATATACAGGGTGTTCCGTAGCACTGTCCCTATCGCTCGTGAGTAGGTAGACGGGAGCGAGATAAATCAAAATGTCTTATACTATTTTGCGATATTCACAATAATTTTCGAGTTATCAAGTATTAAAGTTGCGCATACAAAAGCGCACGCTCGCCCGCCTGACCCGTAGAAACCTGTTTATATAAAAATTATTTGCAAAATTATTTGCAACTACATATTTCTTTCATGAAATGTATGCAGGATTCAGAGATTAAGAAGTTATTAAAAAATATGCGACCGCTGAAACTCTTCTTAAAATGAGTATGAAATTCTGCTAGAAATACCGAAAACAGTCGCTAGAATTACGATAAATAATCAGCGCAATACTATTCTTCCAAGTGTCGTACCGTATTTAATATGAAAAATGTAAAAAAGTAATAATTGTTTAAATTTTTTCTTAAAATTATACATAATGATGAGAATCGAATATTAATGTTATTCGAGTATTGATTACAACTGTCATTTAAAGTGATAATATTTACTCTATTCTTGTACTTTAGAGAGAAAGATTAGGCTACATTCGTGAAATTAGTACATTATTTAATTTGATTTTGTGCTATTAAAAAAGCTATAAATATTACGTTATTAAAAAAGCTATAAATAGTTAAGCTATAAAGAAAGCTATAAAGAATAAAATATTTAATAATTGTAATCGCGTGTATAATGTTGATGCGAGTTTCGGCATGATAAGAAGCGTGAGCAGTGGCTCATCCTTTCCCTCGCCGCACGCTGCCCAATCATCATCGAGCGCCGGGCGGCCATGTCGACATGCTGGTCCGTTCTACGGGTCAAGCGGGCGAGTGCGTGCTTTTATTCGTGCAACTTTAATACTTAATAACTCGAAAATTATTGCGAATGATAATAAAATAAGATATTTTGATTTCGCTCCCGTCTATCTCCTCACGAGCGATAGGAACAGTGCTACGGGACACCCTATATATATGTTTATATATGTTCTTATTGCATTGTTTATTTTTATTTTTTATTTTTATTTTTATTTTTATTTTTATTCAAAAGAATAAAAAAAATTTGAATATATAAAAAATTAGTTTCCATGTTATTAAATGTACTAAATATTTTTCTTTTCAAAAAATTAACGTAAAAAATAGAAAAAAGAAGATTACTAGAATACGCGAACACGCGATCCCCGCATTTCCAGCGCAGCACCTTTATTTTTATTTTATTTTATTTGAAATTGTTTATTTGTGGGATTTGCAGTACAATAAGATTATAATGAAGTTACAAAATTGTTACGTTCTGATTGTCCGTTTTTGGGTCAATACATTTAAGTACTTACCTTGGGATTGGACCGGTTTGTGAATTAACCAACCCCGAAGAAACGAATTTTATAAATTTTATAAATTTTATATCGCGAATCATTCTTATTAATTTGATTACAATTAGGATAATTTATTTTGAAATCAATTTCTCTCAATTTATATTTAGGAATTTGCTTGATTATTTTAGTTTTAAATTGACTTTCCAATTTTTTAAGTTTTAAGAATAATGGGAAGGGATCTTTATTTAAAATTATCGTTTGATTTAATTGAAATCTTAATCTTTTAATTTGAACTCTGCGCTCACCTCTTTTGAACATGAATGCCTTTGAAATTAATTATTTATTATTGAGATTCTAAATTCAAATTATTTAGTTACAACACCATTGGCTGCGACTGAATAGTACGCTACGCTATTGTCAGCGACCGAATTTGGATTTAGAATTATTTTGATTTTAATCAAGAAATATTAAGAAGAATAAGATTTCAATTTTCCATTTATCTTATTAGGTGTACAAAAAAGTTCTGAGCTTTAGATTTCATACAACCGAAATAACAATTTAAATTTTATATATCTTCCCGCCCTTTTGCGATTTTAAAGCGTTGACATTTGGTCTTCTAAAATGCCATACGGTTTGGCGTTTGATGCATATAACCTCAAAAATCAGTAGTGTTCACGATGGCAATAACAAAAGAGCATATTCGATTTTCCATCCACTTTGCATTCATCTGAAGAAAAATGCTGCTAAAGCCACTGCAATGATTTGTGCTGCATATGGAGAGAATGCTGTAAGTCATACTACATGTAAAAGATGGTATCAAAAATTTCGCCAAGGAGATTTCAGTCTTGAAGATGAACCGCGTGCTGGACGCCCTCAAAAGATTGAAACGGACGAATTGCAAGCACTGCTGGATATAAACTCTGCGCAAACTAAAAAGGAGCTTGCAGAACAGCTTGGCGTTACGCAGCAAACCATTTCCGTACGTTTACATACGATAGGAAAGGTTTAGAAGGAAGGCAGATGGGTTCCGCATGAATTGTCCGAAGACAACAAAAATCGTCGGCGTGACACTGCACTCACTTTGCTTTCAAAGTTCCGGAAAAAAGATTTTCTGCACAAAATCATTACAGGCGATGAAAAGTGGATTCTTTATGATAATCCTAAACATAGAAAATCATGGGTTGATCCTGGTCAACCTTCGACATCGACGCCAAAGCCCAATATTCACCCCAAGAAGGTTTTGCTTTGTATCTGATGGGGTTGGAAAGATGTGTTGTATTACGAGTTGTTACAACCGGGTGAAACAATCACGGCAGACCGTTACCAACAACAATTGACCAA